CGACACGAGAGTGTGGTTCTTGTGTGTTTAGTTGGTTTGTAATATGTTCGAAAGGCTAAGAAAAGAAGAAGTGTTGGAGATGTTTTCGGGTTAAACGAATCGTTTCCCTCCACTTGAGATCTGCCACGTGTACATTACATATCGGTTCTTAAGGATAATGTGATGACGTGGTAGTCCGTTACGCTTCTTTGCAGATTTCGTTTGTTTCTCGTTTATGGAAGGAAAGATGAAAATGAATAATATGAGAAAAAAAAGTAAATATCTATTTTTCCTCGCAACAAGTAAAAATGTAAATAACTATATGATTTTATAGTTATCTGCTGTCTATAAGAATAATATTTAAGAAATCAAATAAATTTAAAAAATATTATTTCAACTTCATTTACAATTGAATTAACAAAAAACAATTGAATTGGTCATTAGATCCAATTTTCTATCGTACTAATCAAGTAAAATTTTATCGTATCTAAATTTTTTTCCATTTTTATTGATGTTGTAGTGTCGATTTTGTCGTTAACACATTGCACCAAACTACTACTACTGTATGTAAATTCTTTTAAAACTTGAAAATTTGACAAAACAAAGCACAATATATTGTGATCAATTGTGTTCAATATCCATTTGGTTAAACCCGTGTGAATTATTCTACTATTAAATAACAATATCTAAAATAAAAATATATGGATAATATTGTATGGTTTTTTTTTGGTTTGTGTTTGCATTTTAATTAAATATCCTTTAATCCAATAGATGTTAGATTAATATTGATTTTTGTTAGATTCATTAGTGAATTTTGACATTTAGATTAAACATTATTTTTTTAATTTTACGTAAATTGTAAAAATATTCGTATTGATATTTAATTATTTTATAACTTTACATATAAAATATGAAGTTTACTATAGAAATAGATATGATTTAGAACAATAGTTTAAAGAGTACTTATTTGCTAAATAAATATGTACAACTCATATTTATTTGAATGATATCATAAGTATAAATTATGTTAAATTTGTTTTGTCCGATTATCTTAAGTAAAATTTAGAATACATAAAGACTTACAAAATGTTTTAAAACATTAAAATATATAAACATAAATTTAATAATAAAACATGGATTAATTTTTTTTTTTGTTATTTTCGAATTAAGTAATATTTTTGTTAATTTCAAATTGTCTTGTATTAAAAAAAAATTCAAAACAAAGAATTATATTTCTTGTTATAAATTTGGGAATTTTTTTCATTAAACATATCAAAATTTCTTTAAAAAAATTGGTAAATCTTTACTATTAATTTTAAAAAGAATATATATTTTATGAAAATGTTCTAGAATTTTATAATTACAATAATCAATTTCTAAACTATTTTTAAATAAGAAACTAAAATTTCTATATAATTTTAGAGTGGAAAACAAATATCTGATAAATTAAAGTAGTTTTGTGAGTTTAATTTTCGTGGATGTAAAGTTTACTGGACTAATTATAATAAAAATTTAATTAGTTTTCTCACAAAAAATTTTGTGGGTGTAGTTTTTGAGTTAATGGGCCAAATTTAAATTGTGAATTTTGCTAAATTGACTCACATTGAATTAGTGTTTTGCAAAATAACCTTTACCTTTTTTTGTACCAATTTTTTTCCTATATTACTCTTTGATTAATATTGGAAAATACAAAAACTGGTTTTTATAATTTTATAAAATCAGAAAAATAGAAAATAGTAATGCACAAGGCATATAGATTCATGTTTATATATTTTTTTCAAAAAAAACTATGACAACAAATTATTTATTTTTCCTTCTATCATGGTTGAATCTACTAGTAGATTAGGTGTTTTACGAATTTGTATCATACGAGTGGTGGAAATAAGTATTCTACTAATTGCACAAGTTTTACATATTGCAGATTGCACATTCCACCATTTTGTTTCAGTAATACCAGTCGTAGAATGCTATTTCTACCAATGTCTTTGTCGTCTACGTCACGCAGAATGCATATTCTACCCCT